AGCCGCCATTTAAAATCCTAGTTGCCACCTTGATATTTTTCCTTCATCCTTTTGCTGCCCTTTGACCATTAGCAACTTATCTAAGATAATATCTTTTACCTTCTAACTTATCCTTAATTTACTTGAATAGTTTTTGATCTTGAGCAAACATCACAAGATTGTACAAAATCTTTGACTACTTTTCACATATGGGGCCATCAAAAGTCCTTTGATATTAATTCCAAAGTTTTATTGTATCCAAAATGTCCTGCTGCTAGAAAGTCATAACGAGCTTGAAGAACACATAATCGAGCTGCATCTTTTGGAATATATAGGCGTCCCTTAAAATATACCTTCTCTAATTATTGTTTAAGGTTCCAACCACATAGTCACTATTATAGCTAAATAAATTCGTTTTCTGTCTTGATATCTTCTTTGATCGTTGTACTCTTCATTTTATGGTTGCATCGCTTCTTTGAGTGATGTTGAGTAGTGTGCTTAAGTTTTCTACAATATAAGTAGAATCCTTCTTGATGATGACGAGTCTTTTCTTACTTAGTAAGAGGTTTGAAATATATAATATCAATTTGCATATCCTCTACTTCCGAATGTATGTGTTGAACAGATATTAGTGTTTCCATTAAATTATAGTAACATTGAGGTCTACTTGTACGGTTCTTAGATTGAAATTTAAAAAGGCAATTGTTGTACTTCACAGCAAAGTTAATTGCTTGACTCAATGTTTGAGGATCAGATAAGTTGAATATTAATTTTTTTACCTCATATTGTAATCCATAGGAAAATTGGCTAACAAGTGCATCATCATCTTACTTGATATCAGTTGCAAGTTGTGAAAACTATGAAGTATACAACATTACTAATTGATTGCCTTATCGCAAAATATGGATCTTGATGGTTGCAATACAAATTGCATCATGTTCTCTATACATAAATCGAAACTCTACCAAAAAAGCCTCTAGATTATCCAATATTGGATCTTGTTGTTCAAGAAAAGATAAAAACCATGATAATACTGAACCTAAAAGAAGCGTACCAATGAATCTAACTTACAATCTTGAAGTTAGATAGCTTTGGGGTTGAAGTTCAATCACAAGTTGAACTTAATTGATAAATCTTTTAAATTTTGATTTAGTGCCATCAAACTTCTCAAGTAGGGTAATTCTAGGTTTTTTAATATTGGAAAGACGTTCCACCATAGGAGAAGGGATATGATTTGGTGCAGATGTTGAAGTAGCTCCAATCATTTCTATATCTTTACTTCTTGTCAATCTTGTTGCTCCTTGTGGTAGTAAATTGAGATGATGCATCGCAAGCATTAACTCCCTAAATTGCTCTTACATTTGTACCATTGTACTCTTCATTTCAACAAGTTCTGCCATGATAACACTTAGAAAAAAAAAATATCTAATATCGCTCAAGATAAATAGAAGAGAAGAATTGAAAACAAAGAAAATAATAAAGACAATATTAGTTTAAAAGAGGGTAATCTGCAACTTCTAATATGCTTACGTCTTATCAAGAAATAGGAATAATCCATTCTTAATCAAGATTAGACAAAGCTCTGATATTATAAGTATATTCTTGTCAATCTGTCAAAGACAAGAAGTTGATAAAGACAAATAAAAAAGTGAGACTTCTTTCAAAGAAAGATGAAAATATATAAATAACTAAATATGTATATTAAGAAAGAAACTGGAATGGCTATTGCCAAAAGACAAGCAAACTAGAGTCTTTTGAAACTAGAGTAGAAGCAAGAAAGGAGTTGACAAAAGTGAAGAAGGCTTCACTCTTGTCTCTATATATATTACCTAACTAGGGGCTATATGGCGATGTTCTATAGGACCTCCAATATATGTTGACTTTGTATGACACATGTCTTGACTTACAAGGCAAGTTTTTCTACATGTGGGCCATATAGTTAGCTTGATCTTCAAGCTAATAACATGTGTGGCACATGTCCAACTTGTTGACCACGTTTCTAATCCAATAAGTCAATTAAAGATACCTATAAAGTCAAAGTAGCATCTATCAAGCTTCTAAAAAGCTTTTATAGTAAATATTATAGAATTAACTTACTTTTACCTACTTTTATTTATTTCTATCTATTTATACATGTAATTATTGGCTTACATGGATATGTCCCTGACAGATATATTTTCAAAAAAAAAAACTTTTTAAAGACTATGGTACTTAACAAGAACAACCTTCATTTAGTAAAAAAATACATATCATGAAAGAAAGAAGGTCATTTAGTGAATAATAAAAGAACCATATATTTTTATAAGTAAGTAAAGAAAATATAAATATTATTTTTTTACTAATTTTTTATTTTTTTGTAATACTGTGAAGTTCTAAGATGCAATCAAGTAAGAGAAGGCCATGGAAAAAGAGTACGATTATCTTATGAACAATTGTACATAGAAATTGGCTCTTTTTCCAATAAGTTGATCTAATATTGATTGAAAGTAGGTATTTAGGAACAAAAGAGATGCAATAAATGTGATGATGAAGTATAAGATAAGATTAGTTGCTAAAAAGTACTCACAAGTTGTTGGTATTGTTTTCAATGAGATATTTGTACTAATTGTCAAATTCACCACCATTAAAATTTGTGCAGTAATTGAGGCAATAATGGACTTGAAAATGCTCCAAATAGATAAGTTTTTAAAATATAAAATTACAAGAAGACATCTATATAGACTATTTCTAAATATTTTTACAACAAGGCAATAAACACCTTATGTGCAAGTTGAAGAAAACTTTACATAGACTGAAAAAAATCACAAAGAGCATAATATCAACATATTAATACATTCTATATTAATGAAAGATTTACAAGAAGTGAAGTTGATTATTCCTTCTATATGATGTAATTTAAAGATTTTTTGTTATTTATAATTCTTTATATTAATAATTTAATCATTTTGGCTAACTATATAGAGAAGAAGATTGAATAAAGGCTATATTATAAAATAAAAAGATGAGATAATTGATTTGAAAGAGTTACATTATTATCTTGGTATTGAATTTGTAAAATAATTTGATGATTGCACCATCAAAATGAGCCAAACCAAGTACCTTAAAGAAGTATTGAAAGAATTCAACATGAAGAAGTGCAAATTAATTGCAACATGTCTTGAAAAAAAACTTAAAATTAATAAAATTCATACATGAAGAGTTTGCAAAAGTTGAAGATGAGATGCAAAGTTATTAATACAAGGCACCAATAGGCTCACTTATATATGCAATGGTGGTGATAAGAATAGATCTTGCATTTGATGTGAATGTTATGAAAAAACACATTTCCAAGGTTGAGAATTTGTATTAAGCAACGGTAAAGAGAATCATAATGTATTTAAAAGGCACAAAAGACTTCAAATTATACTTTGGAATAAGACCATTGATTTCTAAGATTGTTGTGATGTATATTAAGCTAAAGATATAAATGATAGAAGATCTATAATATGATATTGGGGTAGGAGCCATCTTATGGAATTACAAGAAACAACCACTCAGTATACAATAAGTTATGATAGTTGAGTATATGGTAGCAAGTCATTACACAATAGAAGCAATTTAGAAAAGACCACTCTTGGAAGACATTAGATTTGTATAATTAGTGGCAAATCCAATTATGTGTGATAATCAAAGGTATTTTGTATTTGCCAAAAATCCAAAGTATCATTCAAGAACCAAATACATTAATATTTAATATTATTATATAAAAAAAAAGATTAAAGATAGTATAATAGATATAAAATATTATATTATAAAAGACATACTTGCTAATACTCTTACAAATATATTGATTAAAGATAGATATCACAAGTTGATAAAAAACATTAAGATTGAAAGCATTTTAATAAATAGCAAAGTTAGAATTTAGAAGATTAGCAAGCCTAAGATTAGTTACTACACTTAGACTTTAATCTTAATTATTTGGTAATGATTATAAGCCAACAAAGACTTAAGTCAAATCACTATAGTAGCAGCTAAATTAAGAAGAATTTGAGATTTGGTTGGATGAAACAAAATAGAACAAAAGCAATTGTAGATGAGGTTCATTTATATTTAATGTAATGATTCTTTTATAAGCAAAGGATATTGGAAGTAAAAATCAACTTACTCCACACTTCTATTTGTATATAATCTTCTTAATTCTAAGTGTTGAAACTTCCTACTTTTCTTATTTTTAATACATATCAATTATTATAAATTAAATTAGACAATCAGAAATATTAATATATATATATATATATATATTTATTATTATTTTTATTAATTTTTAATTTTTAGAGGAAGAAATATAATTTTATCAAAAAAATAATAAAAATAATTAAGCCAATCATTTTATATTTATATTTTATTTATATTTTATAAATTAATATTTTTTTAAATCAATGATTACATTTGAAGGTTTTTTTTTTTTTTCTTTATAATCACATGTTTGAAGATGTATTTTTTATTTTATTTTTTATTAATATATTGTTTTTAAATATATCTTATAAAAAAATTATATATTTAGGCATTTAACTATAATAGTTAATATATTGTTTACATCATTAAAAATTAATGTGAATACAACAAGATTTAATGATTCTACTTGTTTCTATTTATTAAAAACCAAAAAATATTAATAATAATAATGATAATAATAAAAGAGATGATTCACTTATTCAAAAAATAAACTCATAGAATAAGCAAATAGTGAAAGAAAACGACAAACCTTTCCTTGAAAAATGGCTGTGTTCAGGAGTCGACGCTGGCGTCGGAGTGCGTTAGTGCGCGGCAGATGGCGGTGCAGCTCCTCGTCGCCCGCATCGAAGTTGCCAAGCCTTGCGGGCACGCCAGATGTGATGCGGAGCGCGAGCGGCAAATTATCGATCACTACGCCACCTTTGAGTCTGCGCTTCACCGATCACTCCAACCCACGTCATCGTCGCCACCTTCATGGATCGAGCTCAGATTTTCGCATTGCATCGTGCTCGCAACGGAGCCACCCGGGGCTTTCCCCGCCTGAGGTAGACTTTTCAAACCATGAAGCGCGGGTGACGTGGATCTGTGGTGCATCGAAGTTTGTGCGAGTTGAGGTGGCGGCGGACGATCGGGTTGATGTTTCGTTGGCCGTAATGAGACTCGAGGCTGTAGTGTGCGTTTTGAGGTTGTGGGAGGTGGTCTGGTGGGTTGTTGCTAAGTAGAATTGGAGTCAAGAGGACTTCGAGGACTTTGGGTTTGGCCGGCGGGCTCTGCATCGTCAGCAGTCGAGTCTCTGCTCTGTTTTGTGAAGAGGGGTTGTGTTTTATTCCTTGCGGTTTTTTTGTGGCGGAGTATAGAGCGGAGGAATTTTGACGTTGTGGGAAGCTTTGAAGCTCAATGTCGGTGTTTGCATCTGCGGTGCGGTATACAGTATTTCATCTTTAAAGAACCAGTGGCGCTGTTCAAGACCGGCTTTAGAAAGTTCATCGACCGTTCTTCTTGTGAATTGTTCGTGTTCAATTTCTAGGTTAGTATTCTCGGTGGGTAGAAATCCGAAAGCAGAGGAGCTCTGATTCAGCTCCCATTTTTTCGAAAAGGGTTGTTGATTTTGATATGAAGCAGGGCATGGCATCCAAAGAAAGGTCCAACGTAAGGCCCAATCTTAGCTGTTGGCTATGGCTCGTAGGGATACTTTTAGTCTTACACCTTCTCATTATGGAGGCACGCGGCGCTCACTCTGCGGAACCTTTGACTCGAATTGCATTTGGCTCCTGCGCCAATCAAAGTGCACCCCAGGTAATCTTTCTCTCCCTTCCCTGCGCAATTTTAAAGAATTCAAGCATTTCTTTTCTTGTGACACTTGTTTTCATTCATCAATCTGTAATTAGTCGTCGTAAAGCAGCAATTGTTACCTTGCAAGGGAATAGTTACAATGAACGCCCGTAGCACATAATAATACCATACTCTTGCAATAGCTTGAAAGGATTTGTCCGGAGCCACAACCCTGTAAATAAGTACTTGAATCCTTGCTGGGGAGCAATGAATTCTTGCTTCAGATATGTTGTCACATCATTTTGTGAATTGTCTCGGCTGGAATGTAAGGGCTGTACTTTGCTGTTATGGCTTGATAGCCTATCTGGGATGCAGTCTTGGAGCTCGATCCCAACCTTTTTATTTTTCTTGGAGACAACATTTATGCTGACATCAAGCAACCGAACAAGATGGTAGGGAGAGAAAGGACAGTTGGCCCCTTCAAAAATATTCCTCGGTTCTGGGCAGTTTCGCCTGAAGAGCTGAAGTTGAAGTACGACCTTTTGAAGCATGGCCAACCCGGCTATGTAGCTCTTCGCAAAAAAACTCAAGTATTGCTACTCTTCTGATATGACCTCAACTCAGATCTTGCTCACTTTTCAAATTATTTTCTGTTTGTTGAAGTGATTTGAGTTCATGAAGAGTAAATTATAGCATTATATAACGAGTCGTTCCTTGTTAACTGCAGATTGTGGGGACATGGGACGATCACGACTACGGATTGAACGATGCAGGTAAGGAGTACGAAGGGAAAGACGCCAGTCAACAGCTGATGCTAGACTTTCTGGATGAAGCCCCTGATAGCCAAAGGTAAGGTGGTTGTTCCTTTTTATGACTTGGTCTCGTACTTCGAGCTGCACCACATGTCTTGTTAGCCAATTTGCGGATTTACGTAATCACCCTTCAGATATCAGTAATGGTATTTGAACATGTAAACCTCAGCAATGCACGCATGGTGCAGTCAAAAGCAGTAACTTTGTGTTCTAGGACCTTAAGCCTTGCACCATCAAGGCCTTCAACCTCTTGAATAGATACGACTGATCAGGTTTATATTTTCTGTAGGCGAAAACAACAAGGTGTCTATGCTGCATACACTTATGGGCCAGTTGGAAAGAAAGTCAAGGTAATTGTTTCATGAACTATCGATGTCCTTCAACAATGATTTTTTCCTGCCTTACACGAACCTCCCCTCCCCATCGTCCCTCAAATCATCCTTTTTTAGTTACGATGGAGAAATTTGGATAAACTCCTGCTTCGAAATGGTTATTCAGGTGATTCTTTTAGACACCAGATACCACAGGGATCCACTACGCAGTGATGGCACCATGTTGGGTGAGACCCAATGGCGTTGGTTTGAACATGAGCTGCAGAATAGTGATGCTCAGATACACATCATCGGTTCATCTATTCAGGTACTTCGGAAGGTTTACTTTTGAGATACTAGTGTTTTAATTACTTTGGTTTGAGTCATACGGATGTTGACGACATTCGGATACAATTGCTACTGCAGGTAGTGTCCAATTTCTCCGCAATGAGCCAACCCTTCTTCAGTATGGAGTCATGGGGAATGTTTCCGTCTGAGCGCTCCAGGTTGTACGCCGTCCTTCGCGACACCAATGTATATCTCCAATACACTACACTTACTGCACCCCGCAAAATGTGCTGAGTCGTCATAATCAAAGTTATACTACGTGTGAACATCTCTTCATCATAATACTTTTTACTGGTCTATTCTGATCCTAAATTAGCATCACGGCATAATACTACTTCAAATGAAACAGGTAAAGTTTCTGGTCTTTGAATACATTATTTTAACTTGTCTATTCGGTCGTCTTTCTTCACAGACTAGTGGTGTTTTATTCATAAGCGGAGACGTGCACTTCGGTGAAATTTCGCGGTTCGATTGTGGACTTACGTACCCGGTGTACGACATCACATCAAGTGGTCTCACTGAAGCTGTGGAGGAAAAGTACGCATTCCCATTCTCAATTGCACTGGCACTAGGTGGCTGGGTTTTGCCCCAAACCATGCGCGTCCATAACTCTCGCTGTACAACCAATACCTGCGTCTATGGTAATATATCTTCCACTCAAATCTGCTATTTCATTCAATTTATGGGGTAGAGTATGTTTCATCGACGTCTGGATCTCAACATCCTGCATTCTATGTTTTGCTGGACAAAAATCCGCATTCTGTAGTTTCCTTCCATTGAAGAGCTACTTTTGTCGCTTCCACGCAGGGCATGCAAATTTCGGGACGTTTGAGATTGACTGGGACGCCAATCCAGTCATTATAGACGCAAATGTGCGGGACATACATGGAAACCCCGTGTTGGGAGAAACTATTAAACTTTCAGAACTGCAGCCAGGGTATTTCAAATCGCAGGCTGTTCGGGGAAGGCATGTGAAGAGACACTGCACGTTAGAATCAGAACTGCCTTGGTACCGGAAGTACATATTGGCAATCACCTTTATCGGCACCCTCACTGGTAAGCAATCGCCTCGTGAAACAATATTTTGCGTTAAATCGATATGCGTGGCTCTGTGTCATTGAATTGAAAAGTATTGTTCTGTGACCTGCTGTTCACTGCTAATTTACACATCTTTGAAGTCGAGAAAATCATAGCTGAAGATTCTTGGTTATGTGTTTTGGGGGTTGCAGTTTCTGTTGGAACTCTGCTGATGCTCCTCGTCTTAATAGCTGTAAGGCTTACGAGGAGGACGGTAAGATCCTTAACATTTAAGGAGGATTAATGCTTTCCATGGAACTGACGGTAAATGAATTTTCACCTGCATGTCTAGATTTTCGTCCTCTTCTCTTCTGAATTTGTATATGCGGTCCCTCTCTCGGCATCTGTCAAGTCCTTTTATTGTCGATGCCTTGAAGGGGATGTGTAAAATAGCAGTGAACACATTTGTTCAAGAAATTGCATGACTTTATGCTATTTGATCAATAATTTGTATGTTGACCATTTAGTCAACGCTCTCACGATGGACGCTCTGTAATACTGAGAACTATGTAAACAGTAGGGCTCACATTATAGGCAAAATCCTTTGGTTTAGCTAATTTGGTTTTCATCACTCCAGCTAATCAGTTACATTTATTTTCATTTATTTTGAGATGACTAGCATGCTAATTTGCACTACAATTGAAGTGCATGAATGTGAATTTATCACACATCATTTGACAATTATTTGAGTTTTGGAACGGGGTTCACAAGCAGAATTGGAAATTCAAATGTTTGCAAGAACTGCCAAATATGTTTCCATCGGATGAGGTCAGAGAAATCAAATAAAATAAATAAAATAAAACAGTGTGAAGTTGTTTTATGGAATTCAAATGCTTCGCACACTTTCCTGCAACATGGGGTTTATGCTGTGGGTCTCCAGCATGTGACAGTTTTCAATTATGAAGATTTTACTACTAAAACGTATATTATGAAAAATATGGTAATGGATTCTTTTAGTGACTAGCTCAGCATGTCCAAGGCATTTGCAGAACCCAATGTGGTGGGCCTCTGGTTAGTCAACACCAATTCAATCTTCAAAATTGATCTCTCTTTTCTTGAATGTAGTGGTGACTTAGGAATCAAGATCAACCAGTTTTACTACATTATTTTTTATATGTAACATAGCTTTAAGTATTAAACTTTCTTTTTTGCATGAAGGCCTTAGAGTCTAAGAATCCCAGTTACCTACAGTAGGGTGAAAGTGCCATATGCTCTAAAACAAAGATCCATGCTTCAAAAATTGGGCATGGTAGTCCTCATAACTTGTGATTTCCTACCAAAAGATGGTTGCTACTCACTTTCTCTGGGTACCCAATGTACAAGAGGGTATGACACCCTTGGATGGGAACAAAGATGATGATCCTCGTCAACAACAATTATTAGGGTAGGAACTCTAACAACTCCAAAAAAAGAATAAATTTTTTGGCCTCATAAATATTTACATATGTAGACACACACAAATTAGGGTAAAAGATCAGACCAAACTTCCCTTCTTCAACACAATCCTCCCTTTATCTCACACATCCCCTTTGACTTCACTCCAAGTCCAACACAATCTTCACAAATATTGAAAAAGATCAAACCCATTTCAGGCCAATTTATTAGCTCTGGGCCTTGGCTTTTATACTCAAGCACATGAGTTGAATACAGAGGGTATGATCAGGATATCCTCTTCTGGTTGTCAAGTTTGAAGAATGCATGTGGTGATGTGAGCTTTGAACATTATGTGGGGTTTTTATGAACATTGATGGTTCATGTGCAACCTTTCTGTGAGAGATTAGATGCAGACTTTCTCATTAGCTTTCGTACTCTGTCAGATGCCATGTGATGTAAAAAAACAATAATAATCAAGAAAATGAACAATAAAAGAGCCCTAATAAGAACCCTAAACCTGTCCCAAAGCTTAGCTCTAAAGTGCAGCTTTGCATGGTGATGCTTTTTGAGAAGAAGAAAAAGCTCAAAACAGTCATAGCTCCTGAAGGTTGTACTGGAGCTTTGAATATTAACAGAATAAAATTCTGGCCAAACTGATGGTGCATCATTAGTGTGATTTTAAACAAATGGGTTTACCATTTGGCCTCCTTTTTATGCCAAGAGTTGAAGCTAAGGTCTAATATTACACAAGTGCCTTGTACAATGTAAACAATACAAAACTTGGATATCCTGTACAATTTAGATTTTTTTGAAGCTGAAAGGAATCATGAAAATTTTGTGTAGATTTGAATTTGGGAGGCAGCAGCAGTTGCAGGAAGGGCCTGAACTGAAGTTTGAAATAAACAATGAGCTTTTTGGGGTGCTTTTCACATATTTTTTCAAACAAAGAGAGTTGATTGTGGGTAACGAGAGAGGGCATGTGGGCAAAAGAAGTCCCCAACCAGTTGAAGGAATTTGTTAGAAATTTAACATAAATTTGAAGGAAGCTGTTGGGGCATCACTTCAAATTAAAATTTTGTCACCTTATTCTCAGTTAATTGAACCAGTATATAATAGATTGTAGAGAGAGAGTCAAAAACCATGATCAAGAGTGTGTAAACCAAGGAGAGGAAAGTTGAATTTCTTTGAGAGATAGGGACAGGAATTGCTGAAAAGGGTCATTAAGGGTTTAGGATGTTTCACTTTTTCCAATTACCAGGTTTTTGAACTGTGCAATAACATGGAATTGTGATGGTAAATGATGTTTAGGAAATGTATGATTTTAGACACCTTGACATCTTGTTTGGAGATCCCAAAAATCTCATATAGAATGCATTCTATATGAGATAAAACATAACACCATGTATATCAGTGTGTATGAATGTGTTAGGATAAAATTTAGAAAAACACAACACCATGTATATCAGTGAGTATGAATGTGCATATATATATATATATATATATACATATTATTGGTAGACACCTTCTCATTTTTCCGTCTTAAGAGTACTACCAAAAAAGGTAATGGGACAAGCACACTTTGAAAAACAATAATTTGGAACTATTATTATGTGAGATTACATGTCATTTTCTCATCCATTCTTATTATCCTTGCCTTTTCAATCTTGTATAACATTAGCACATATCTCTCAACTTTTGATCAATCAGATTTTTACATTTTTAAACCATGTTTCAGAATATGTATATATAAACACAAATATACATACATAATAATGCATCTATGATTTGATTACGTATGAGTTCTTTAAATATTTTGATTTTGGGTTGAAATTGTATATACATATATACAGATACATATACATACACACACACACACACACACACACATATATATATATATATATATATAATGTAAAGTAATGAATTTTAAATATTGAAATATCTTTGTTTTTTTAAAACCACATTTTCTTTATAACAGTGATAGTAATTTTTAAAAAGGAATAAGTTGGATTGATTTTTTAATGGTTTATTTTATTTTACTTTTCTTGTCTCTTCATCTGTGTAACTGAAGCATGAAGAAAGGTTTAGAATTATTTTTGAAATGAGCTGGAAACCCTACATGTGGTAAAGCAATTAAATCAATTCAAGCTTTTTCTCTATCTTCCTCCATAGATTGCACACCCACATCCCTTAGGGTGATGTCAGAATGTGATCCACCTAGAGCCACAGAAGATTATCTTCACATAGCTGGGCTTGCCTACCCAGCTCATACTCTTGTTACATGTGTACAAATTTTCACATGTTTGAATTCTTTGATTTATTTATTCTCAATATTATTTACAGTTTGCACTATTCCAAAGATTATATTCCTCTGCACAAATACACTGCAATTTTTAGTTATTTATTTACTTATCAAGCATGTGAGTATTAAATAGTTTTTTACAAAATACCAGCAGAGGCAATGGTAATAGATAAAGATTCCAGTTATGACACATGTCATTCTCATTCAAGGCATCAGAGAGAACACAAGACACATGGCAGTAAAATCATGTGGAAATTTGACATGCTGGTTTGCATTCAAGACATAAGATTTTAGCTCATGGTTTCTAGAAGTCTCACAACAAACTTCAGATTGCTTGCAGAGCTCATTGTGGATGAATTCAAGTTGTTCCTCACATCAAATCCTATTTTTTGATCTCAGGAGCCCCCCCCCCCCCCCCCCCCCCACTGCAGGCCCAATAGTCCATTTCACTTGAAACAGCCACACATGCTCCAGTCAGTTCTTTTGCAGACCCCAATAGATTAAAGTGCAAACTTGCCATGCATACCAGAAAAATCCTATTTAGATGAACGTATATTGCCACCCTGTGCATATGTGGATGAGCATTGGGTGTTGTGGATGCATGTAAAGTGTGTTGTTCTCTGTGCTGCCTCTCTGAGGGCAATGGTGGTGAGGTTAAGCTCTTTTTTGTGATGTGGGGGCATTGAAGAGGCAGAGGGAGGTTGCATAATGGCCTCCCACATTATGAGCTCACCCTATACCCACTAGGGCATGTTTACTATTCTCACATGTCATCCAGGAAGGATGATACAGACTTCCACCCAGCTGGGCTTGACTGGTAACAATACAAGGAGACACCACCCAGAAATGGTGCTATCTATTCAAATGTTGAGGATGTCTAACATGATAACTTTTTCATCTTAAGGTTGCATCTGTTTTTCCATTCAGTGTGCAAAAGCTTATGCCCACCAGCTCTATAAAAAGTTTCAAAAAAACACAGCCACAGTGAGCTGCACCCACTACTACATTATGTGGTTCAAAATGATTGACATAGTTCAGTTCTTATCACCCTTTATAAAACTATGGTTTGAGAGACACACACTTGAAGACATGGACAATGATTTTTGGAAAAAAAACAGTATTTAACTTGTTTCTATTTGAAAACAGAGTGTGAGATTGTGTTTGGGCACAGTAGGTGCCTGAGTGCATGCAGAGAGAAGTGCAGCAGCTATTTACAAAAAAAACATTTTCCCTGTGTTGCAAAAACAGTTCTAGATTGGTGCAATGAGAATCTAAGCCATTAAGTGTGGGCCAGTGCTCAGATGTGGCAAGCACCAGTAGGTATATATATGGTCCAGCAACCATATGTTTGAGGAGCTGACAATAGAGGTAGCAAAACCATTGAAGAGATCATATATTTAGTCTAAGATCTAAGCATGTTTTTTTCATGGTAGTGTACCACAGCCTCATGAAAGGCATCAGTAAAAAATCTTGCACTACATTGCTTCTTCTTCTTTTACATCATCATCACCATCCTCTTCAGTATTTCAGAAATCACAGTAAACGTGGTAGAAAACACACACATTCTCCTACAGTGATCCGAATGGTGTGATTCCATGGCAACACTCGAGCTCAGATAGCTCTTCAGTGAAGCATTGAACTGGGGAATCAAATGGACTCAGAAAGCTAGTGGTGGCTCAACAGACGGACTTGGCTCCAACTGACTGGGCAGAGCAGCTGGCTGCTTTGGCTCTATTACAACACCGCAGAGGCACTTGCCAACTGGCAAGCCACAAGATCAGCCATGCCCCCAATTCGGCAAATCCCTGGACAGTAGAGAATACAATTATAAGCAAAAAGCCTAACGACGACATCAGAAACTCTGGGGAACTCTCAATCATGGAGGCACGTTCCCCTGGGTGGGTCAGATTTGAGCGTTGAGTTCTCTGGGTTGGGAACGAGTTCCCGAGCAGAGGGCTCCGCCAAGCCAAGCTCCGTCGTCGCGCTCCTGCTTGCCCGTTGAAGAAGCGTCAGAGTCCTCCACCTCCGCAGATTGCTGCCCCCCTGCGAACTGTTCTACGCCCGGGTCATTGCTCCACCTCTACCGTCCGTTTGCGCTGTTCGTGGGCGAGCGGTCTGAAGGCTGTGGGAAAGTTGTAACTTCGATCGGTTGCTTTTTTTCTTTTCATTCGGGTGAAAAGCTGGGCTCTTTCGCGCGGGTCATGTGGCGCTTGTTTGGTTTGGTTTTTGCAATCAGTCATCGAGAGGCCTGGAGGTGAATGAGCTGGAAGTCCTCAAGCATTGCGTTGCGGTATGATCCGAGCACAGCTGGGTAGTGTGTGTTTGGTGCGCAGCGTTAGCTTTGGGTGTGTGGGACGAGTTGGTGTTGAATGGTGGTGAGGGGGAGGTGACGGTTACTGGTGGATTGGGGCAGCGTGACGGCAATGTAGTCCCGTGGACGTCGACGTCGTGCTCGTGACTTTTGAAGGGTAACTTTTGAGCTATTTGTACCGGATTAGTTTTAATCGCCCTGTGATGATGCGCACCCGGGGCTGTAGAATTGCCAGGACGTGGCTATGGATTTAGCAAGGGTGGGTAGCTGCTGGAGGAGTGTCTACAACTTGGCTCTGGAATTCCTCAGAAGCCCTTTAAGCGCGCAACAGTGTGGACCCCGGCGTGTACTGGTGGTCATCAGTTCGGCAGAATTCTCTTTCGGTACCTCGGACCTCATAATCTGGCCATCCCGCTTTCAATGCTGTTCTCTGCAATGTGACTCTTCTGTCTCCATCGTATCTGCTGGACCGTGGTACTCAAATTTTCTGTTTACACCTAGCTAAATCTCGCTCTCGTGTGTCACGTGCACGGTTTCTTCCCTTCTGGATCAGGTCACCTTGACACCAATTTTTTCTTAAACTTAACAATGAACAACGTACCCAAACTACATCCAGTTGCTCATTGGCGCAATTGATCTTTTTGCGATGGTGCTCTAATGATAAGTAGAGGGATTAGTAGCAACTGGAATTCTGTGGCGGTATGGAGTTGAGAGCTCAAAGAGCCATGACCCGAAGATGACAGAATCAATCCAGTCAGGCGCACCTTCACCTTGTAGACCCTTGCCTTGCTACGTTCTGCTTGCAATTTTGACAGCTTACGTCTTGGTAGTAGCGGCTGTTAGTTCTGACGGGGAAGCGCTGCTCGCTTTCAAAGTCGGCTTGGACGATCCCACAGGTATACTGAATTCCTGGAACGGCGCCGATCCATACCCATGTCTGTGGTATGGAGTCACGTGCAACGAAGACCTCAAAGTGCAACGTCTCTTGCTTCAGGGCACTCAATTGTCCGGATCAATTTCTCCCGTTCTGCGCAATCTCACGGAGCTGCGCACCCTAGTGCTTTCGCGGAACAACTTTTCGGGGCCGCTGCCCACCGAGCTCGGTCTAATTGGTAGGGTCTCCGGAACTCTTTTGTGATTGATTTATTGATTTATTGATTTGTTTATTATTGGTTTCCATATGCTGGACTTGATTCGGGGATGGCTAAGAGTGAGAAAGGATTTGTGCAGGGAGCTTGTGGAAGCTCAATGTTAGCGAGAATGCGTTGTCCGGTGCCCTCCCTGCATCGCTTGGGAACTTGTCGCGTCTCCGGATGCTGGATCTCTCTAAGAATGCGCTTTCGGGCCAGATTCCGCCGGCTCTCTTCAGGAACTGCGAGACTCTCCGGTACATTTCCCTTGCGGAGAATCGATTTTTCGGGGCGATCCCCAGCACGCTCTGGAGCTGCACGACGCTGGAGGGCGTGAATGTCGCCTATAATGGTCTGCAGGGCGCCGTACCGCCTGAGGTTGGAGCTCTTGTGCTCTTACAGTTTCTCGATCTGCACAGCAATGAGATCTCGGGCGCCATCCCCTCCCAACTAGCGCTTCTCTCTAATGCCACCTATTTGGACTTCAGCCACAACCAGTTCGCTGGCGGCATTCCCCGAGCGATCGCTGCCCTGACGCGCCTGAATGTCGTTGATCTGAGTAATAATCCTATTGAGGGCCCTATTCCGCCTGAAATTGGAAATCTTGCCGCTTTGGATAGGCTCGACTTATCGAGTATGAGATTGCAAGGGACCATTCCCACGACTTTCGTCAATCTCACTTCATTACAAATACTGTAAGTCTTCCTAATCTGGGAGCTTTTCACTTCCGATTCGGTAAAGTCACGATTTGACATGGTAGGTGTGAACGATCTATGCAGGAACCTATCCGCGAACAATCTGACGGGGAGAATTCCCTCCGAGCTAGGCCAGATTGCGGGCACGCGAGTTTTGCTCTTGCAGAACAATTCCTTGAATGGCAGCATTCCGGAGAGCCTCGGCAACCTCGCAAATCTGACCAGTTTCAATGTCTCCTATAATAGTCTCTCGGGGAGAATTCCAATCGCAAATTCGTTTGCTCGATTCGATAATTCTTCCTATCTCGGCAACGAAGGCTTGTGTGGGCCGCCGCTGAGCGTTCGTTGCGGGTCCGAGTCACCGCCGCGCATGCACAACAGCCGACGATTGCTGAGTGTGTCTGCGCTGATCGCCATTGTTGCAGCGGGTGTCATTGCGCTGGGTGTGATAATAATAACCCTACTTAGCATTTGGGCAATTTGGAAGCAGAACCAAGTACCAAAAACTGAAATACTCGTTTACGAGAGCACGCCTCCATCACCGGACGTTAACCCTATTGTGGGGAAGCTAGTTCTCTTTAATAAGACGCTGCCTACGCGGTTTGAGGATTGGGAGGCAGGAACGAAGGCGCTTCTGAATAAAGAGTGCCTGATTGGGCGAGGATCCTTGGGGACCGTCTACCGAGCCAGATTCGACGACGGATTATCGATTGCAATCAAGAAGCTTGAAATTCTTGGCCGGATCAACAACGCAGAGGAGTTCGAATCCGAGATGGACAATCTCAGCGACGTACGGCACTCGAACCTCGTCACCTTGCAAGGGTACTACTGGTCGTCATCGATGCAGCTCATATTGACCGATTACATCGCTAACGGGACGCTAGCGTCACATTTGCATCCGCAACCGGGAACCCAGACCTCTCTGATGTGGTCTCGGAGGTTCAGGATCGCCATCGGCGTAGCCCGTGGGCTTTCGCATCTCCACCATGATTTGCGGTCGCAAGTGTTGCATCTGAACATTTCCTCGACGAACGTTCTCCTCGACGAGAGCTTTGAACCTAAGATAAGCGACTTCGGGCTGATCAAACTGCTGCCGGTTCTTGACACTTACGCTGCCAGTAGGAACTTCCACGCCGTCCATGTGTATGCCGCCCCGGAGCTTGGAGGCCCGAAACCGAGCGTGACGCCTAAATGCGACGTGTACAGTTATGGCATGGTGTTGCTTGAGCTCGTGACGGGGCGGCGTCCCGACCTCAACTCTGATGACGGCCCGAATGGTCTGGCGGAGTATGTGATCCGGACTCTGGAAAGTGGAAATGGACCCGACTGCTTCGATCCTAAACTGACTCTCTTTCCTGAAAGCGAGGTTGTTCAAGTTCTGAAACTTGCACTTGTGTGCACCGCTCAAGTGAGTTGCTCCACAAATTCATCACCGTCAATATGTATGCACTTTTCATGTTCTCTCTGTTACTGGTCATTTTTGCATGTTTTCTGACATGGTGATGAGGTTGTATGCAGGTGGCTTCGAATCGACCAACAATGGGAGAAGCAGTGCAAGTGTTGGAATCAATAAAGCCATCTGGTTCATGGACGTCGAGGAGCCCGTCGCCTTAGCCAGTGTGAATCCAACGAAGTTTGCCCTTTCCGTGCACCTCGATCGCATCTAGTCCCATAAATAGCTCGGCAGTCTTTCGCGCCAGGCTCTTGGATGCCTTCGAAGCTATCAGTTTCTGCAACAGAGGTATGAATGACATGCAACCATTGCTTTCTATTTTGACTTCTAATATTTTTGAGAGTTTAAAGAATCTTGAGTGTACGATTGACATTTACTTCTTTTGATTGAAGTTGACTGTTTTTGAGACGGATTATCATCTAGGTTATTTATGATGTCGCAGGTGGGAGACAGAAGCTTGAGAGTTTGGGCAATAGAATCAGTCTTCAACTTCTTACAAAAATAGGGATGCTGGTAGTTTTGAGCAGCGATAGCCGCGTCAACTCCAGAATGACTTACAATGCTTATATTAAAGCTTGTAGGATTTTAACACAACTCTGGGAACAGTGTCAAAAATTGATTCACCATTGTTCACAAATCATTTACTGAAATAAATTCTTGTACTCTAACTCATGGATCTTTTGGCTGCTAAGTTACACGCTGGTAACCACGACAATTAATAATTTCTCCCTAATTAGTAAGATCAGCGAAGATGGGTTTCACTTGCGCAATGAGTTGCGTGGCCGCCAAAAGCTCCTTACACTCCTCGGAGGACGTCATTGCTCCACACTCTTTCTGCAATGAATGGTCCTCTCATTTCCTCACCTTAGCATATGTTTCCAAGAAAAGGAATCCTCATTTTTATGACAAGGTAGCAGAGTCACTGGCGGTTAGCGCTCATTAACGTGGTCCAGTAAAGTAATATTAGCACGAATTGTTTCATAATGTCATTAAACCTATGCATGTGAACTCCTACCCCTGTTATATATGCCTTACAAATGAGGAAAACCTCAAATTGCGTGGTATTAGGTGTTAGGTACTGGGAGGATTTCTGAAGAAAGTTTTGCAGTAGACTTGCTTGAAAAGGAATAACAGGAAGAAGGTGAGGAGGGACGTTCACCGACCACTGCTTTCTCTAGGGTTGTAAGGGCCGTTTCAAGGCGCTTCTGACAGTTGGGTACCATCATGTAGGATTCTTGCAGCACATGCTCCTGGACATTCACAAGACGGTTTATCAGATTCTCTTCGTTCTCTAACTCTTGCCATCGGTCTGATGTTTGTGTTGACGTCAAGTGTTTTCCACAGTTCCAATCCCTCAAATTGACTGCCAAACCCTATCTTCCTTTTTGAAAATAAATAAGCATCTTCGTTTGAGCATTTTGCCAACCAATGAATGGTTGACCAGTAGACCTTGGTTTGTCGCAGGGAATTATGAAGAATCATAAACATGAAAATGAACGTTACCTGTCGCTTGATATCAAAAGAGCAGGCTTGTGAGTTTTTCACATTCTGTGTCTTGGCAAACTCCTTGTCCACCACTTGTTCGTAAGAGTGCAGCTCCTTCATTACTCGCTTACAGATACCTGTTTTCACCTTGAGGCTCTTGAGAGCAGCCGTGTCTACCCCTGACCCCGATCTGCGCTGGTTGGTCTTCTGCATTGCATCCAAGTAGGAGACCCAAGGATATTCATTGTGCAAATGCAATCTGTGCTTATGGCTCCATAGTGAGTGTGTTTTGGCAGATTGTTACCGTTATCTCTAACCAATTTTCCCTCGTGGCAGCGTAACTACCTACTATTTGGTCACTGGTTCTACATGGAGTGTTCTTGTTGAGCCTCATGGGAAAATGGTTTCACCTGTTTTGAGTCCCTACTCTTAAGCAAAACAGAACGAAGAGAGTGTTTCCTGATAAAGAGTTTTAGTTGACACCATGGGTTGGCTCTCAGAACTGGATAGCAACTTGCCCACTAGATACTCCAAACTGCTAAAAATAGCACATATTTTGTAGCTTTCGACACTAAATGCGATCGGAATCTCATACGCGGATCAAAATAATGCACTTAAATTCGATCCAAAAAGTTGTAACCAGACTCCATGTAGAACCAATTCTACACAGAGAATTATGAATGAAGATACTCGAAGAGTATCAAGGGTCCATATTTACTTTACGAGAGCCATGGTTATGAGACGAGAACCGAACCTCAAACGATAAAGAACTCAAGTTTTAGTAAGACCTTTTGGAGTTGAAAGAAACATCCAATAAGAGGTGTATACCAGTTTACTATTGTTATTTATGAATAAAAAGTATGATATAACTTTATCCAGCTTATTACTATCTAATCACCACCTAACTCCGACTCCACTGAGTGAATATGCCAAAGCATGCAATCCAAATATTCAAGCAAGGATCCAAAGACATTTTAAAAATTCGAATATCTGAGAGTGTGCTAGAAGGCTCACAAACTGTGATATTCACTGAAATTTACTTTACATTCGTCCAGAAGCTGTGTTGAACAGATTACTACTCTCTACAGGAACCAGTGATAATCAGAGTGTTGAGTGGCTGGATGACAAGTCTCCCGTTACCCTTTCTCCTAGAGGAGCTAGGTTACTAATTGAACTGTCAAACTCAAAATGCAAAGCGCATAAGAAATCAAATCGGCTATACATTCGGAGATGCCTTGTAATTGCGTCCACAGAGGTCTTCAATCCTGCAACAAAACCATGCAGAAACCACTGAAAATATTGATCTGAAAAGCTTCCGTCAAGATTACTCACACGTAGTATAGATATTACTGGGTTAACGAAGGTAGATAAGATACGGACAAGAGATTCCTCAAACCCAAAAAAAAATTCCTTAAGATTTGACATAAAGAGACAACTGATTCTACCTGGTCCAATCACAAGAAATGTCTTCGATCCACCTGCTCAGACAACCAGGGCAATTTGAAGAACTCAGCAGCCGATATTGTGATTAAAAAAACGATGTATCAAAGAGCTAATGGTCAGTTACTTGACAATTCGAATCCTGGCAAATATTGACTCTTTCAAAAATAAGAGGAAACCTGAGTCCGGTCTGCATCTGCAATGGTGTAGGTTGGGAGCCCAGCACCGTCTGCTTTCCCTCGCAGCTCATGCCTGTTCAGAACAATATCAAAACTCAATCATCACACAAGTTATGCAGGATGTAATATGTTTGAGATTTAAGCTTAAAACACCCTACCATTGAGAAGTTGAAGTAGGTTCAAATGTTGGAAAATCCATGCTATCTGAATTTATGACACAGGTATTGCCATGATTTTGAGTGAGTATAGAAAAGGGGAAATTCTCTTTCTCTCTCACTCTCTGAAGCTTTCATCATGCATTCCTTTCTGATTTTTGCATATTACAACAATTTTCTGCTCTCTACAATGTTGCCATATCTCCAACAACGCTCTATTCCTTGAACGAAGTTCAATATATATGCCAACAGCCGCATCTGCCAAATACGGTCAGTTTTAACCGCATCTGCCAAATACGATCAGTTTTGAGTAACGAGTACGCCGAATTCAATCCTTACAAATTTTGCAATATGCAATAAGAACGACCGCAAACAGCTCTAAACTGTGTACATTTCCAAGGACCCGAGACCAGTCTGTTGAATATTGGCACCAATATACTTTCTTCAGTACCTCAATAATGTGTTTGAAATTTAACGACATTGACAGCTAGTGTAAGGGTCATGGTACATGAAATTGAAGAATCAAGTAACTTGTTGGAATGGGAGGCTATACTAGAGATTCTACTAAGGCAGGTTACAATTTATTTGGCAATGAAGGTGGAGACTGAAGTTTCCATTTTGATGGATATTAATTAGTTAGCATTTCGTTAAGATAGAATATTAGAAGGAGTGAATTTCAAAGAATTTATATTGACTCAGATTTCTCAATTATAACTCATGGTGAGTAAATTGGATGGAGAGAGAAATTTAAGGCAATAATTGGAAGCAAGCAAGAAAGAGATATTAGAATAAGATCATCGAATTAAGTAACATGATCAAATTATTCAAAAAAATCCTAAATCCAAGTTGCTATTGGAGCATAAATTTGGAGAGAAATAGGAAGCTTGGAAAAAAGAAAAAAAATGCATTCAATGTGTCATAGAAGGCAAAAGTAAGATCTATTTTAGATTTGGAGTATATCAATTTTGGAATAAAAAAAGACAAAGTGTCAGTTAAAAATGGAACGAGAAAAGATAGCATTACTAGAACAAGAAAAGTGGACATTGGGTGATGCATATAGAATTGAAACAAAAAAAATATGGGTAAAAATTGAAACCTTGAAAGTTGTAGTGACAAAATTAGAGGGTGATTTAGCGAATATTAGTGGGTCACAAATGTCTATCCCATGAGTTTTAATAATTGATGAATTAAAGGAGAAGGTGAGGCAATAGCAGCATTATTTGAAAGCAAAAGATGTTAGGATTCTGCAATTGGAGGCTCAAGTTTGTGAATAGGGAGCGTATAATGAAGACTTATCAGCCCAATTGAGAAAAGAGCCAATGGAAGAATTAGAGGAGGATGAGGACTTATCATTAGAACCAGAAACTATAGAACTATCTATAAAAAATGTTAAGATTGATCAATCTAGCAAGCCAGAGGATAAAAAAATTGTAAGGATTTTGTTGAAGAAGTTTTTTTTTTATTAATATTGTGTTTGTGAGGATGCTATACAGTTAGAAGCAAGGCTATGTAGAATGGATAGAAATTGGTTGTTATAGGACATTGGTTAGATATTGATAAAATTGATTAATCATCCATAAGATAGTCAATTTAGGAGGTAGGATGGATGATTTAGTTAAAAAAAGTAATTAAATAAGAATTATTGGTTGGAATCTCTATTTTGAAATAAGTATAAATTAGATGAAAAAAAAGTGGGAAAGGCCAAACTGTATTAGTCATAAGTTGGGATTAGCTTGGTGCTACTTTTTTTTTTTATTTTCTTTATAGAAAAAAGGTAATAGATAGAATTTGAATAATTTGAAGTAAAATTTTGTAATGAAAAAAAAATTTGATTTATATGATGTCAAATAAAAAATTAAATTTATTGTATACTAAATTATAAGTGAAAAATTACAAAGTTGATAATGGAAGATATTTGTGAAGTATGGATATGAGTGGGAGAATTATAATATATTGATTTTTGAAAGTTGAGAGTATGCCATAAGAAGAAGTCTGTTGAGTCTGGAATTAAGTGAAGCAGATTATTGAGAATGACAATTAATTTAGAAAAAATTCAATGATTGGATTATAGAATTTTATACATCCTTTTAAGATAGTACAATATTACTTATTATTATCATAAGTTTGGAGATGAGAAGAGACAGTCTATACATAAGATAGAATTATCAATTGTAATATTTTATTTAATAGAATGTGAAAGGCATTATAGCTTTTTTAGATATTTTTGTTGATTAAGAGACAATTAATTGTGTGATCTTAATGTGAAAATTCATGCGGATAGTCTTTCTTCATGTTCGAATCTTTTTATGTAGGTTTATTCCAATTAGATAGTTTAGAGTAAGTAAAACAACAATTACATTTTTTTTTTTTTTTTTTTTTTTTTTTTTTTTTTTTTTAATTCTTTATAGCTAATTTTTCTACTTGTATTTTTTTCTTTTTTTGATGAAGAATTCTCTTGAGATTCTTGTTAAGTTTCTTGTATACTACTTTGTGTGAATAAAAAGAATACGAGGGGTGAAGAAAGTGATTAAATCTCCCTACCACTAGAAAAAAGACATCAACTAAAAGTTTACAAGGATAAAAGAAATGATACAAGAGGTGAAGGGAGTGATTAAATCTCCCTACAACTAGAGAAAGGCCTTCAACTAGAAAAATTACAAAGAGGGTGACCGATGAAACTTTGAAGACGAGCTCTATCTTTTATGCTTATAAGTAACAATCACCTAATGAAAACAACCAAAAAATGATAATACTAACATTTAACTATTCAAATTTTACTTAGGATTTGATTTGGATGCATTGACTTCAATCCTTTATAACTTCTTCATTCAAAATCTAAATTCATCAAATAATATATAAAAAGTTTAGTTGAGGAAGTATTCTCTCCAATCCTAGTTGCCGATCTTTTGTTGCTCTCTATAAATGTATGTTATGCCCTGTTGTTCTCGTTGTGTTCAAGCTTTAGTATACCAAAGCAATTGAACTAATAGAGGTAGGTTCGAACATGGAGAAAGACTAGTTATATGAATTGGGTCTATTAGTGTCACAATTGATTGTACTCTGGCTATCTGAAATCAATTATCAAACTACAAAACACCAAGGCTTACTACTTCCGTCTTGATTCAATACATAATCCATTCTACGACTATCAATTCAATAATACTTCTGTCAATCACAATTCTTCATAAGCAAATAATAAAAGCTAAAAAAACAAAGAGGTAGCACCAAGCTTACCCCGGCTTATGACTCTCACAGTCTCTCACAGTCTCAAGCTTACCCTAAAACCTGGACGGCTTTGATCTCTCTTTCCTCAATCTATTTATCCTACCAAAAAGATGATCCATCAGCCAGCAAATTTCAAAGGTTATGACCCTTTGAATTCTTAATCATTTGTTCTACTAACATCCTACTGTTACCAATTATACTGCCTAACCATAAGTCTAATTTTTAAGGTTGTTAATAACCAACCGGTAACTTATCACAAAATTTATTTACCTATTTTACATGCCCCAAAGAGTGACAGTAGGTATGAAATTGACACCTTAACTTTAAGCGCCAATAATTCCTTCATTAAAACTCCAAATCACACAAAATTTGTATCCAATCCGTATCCTAAAATCTAAATTTGATGATCCTTGCCTCCAAAGCTCGAATGACTTCGAAAGAAAAATCCTTATCTCTAATAGGGCATCAGATATCATCCTTGAAGCCCATTGGACATGGCCTTTGATCAATAAGAATGAAGATTTCCATTCCTTATCTTCATCTAAGTATGCCTTCCTTTCATCCCTCCCAATAAGCCTCCTATTAATTAAGATTTTTATCTTTATGCTCTAATCTCCTCTCAAGGCTTCATATTAAATATTTAGGTCATATAATTTTTTTAAATGCTATAATCAAAATAGATAAAATTCAAAATAAAGTTT